ATATATATATGTGTTCCTTTAAAACTTAATATACTTGTTTTTTGCTTGTTTACTTTCAAAAAAATTGTTCTTACAATGATATTTTTCACACGTCAATTATGTCAAAATTACTACGATTTATTCAAACTTGTTAAATGCAATCTAATGATTGCTAATCGTTACTGAGCGCATTTCACGTTCGACGCTTCGATGAAGAAGACAAAGAGAGAAAGCGGCGTATTCGGAATTCGGATTGCCACCTGGGTGTTCCTTGGGTCACTCAGATATCATGTCATCCTTGTTTAATGTTCGGTAAACAACAAAAATGACATGACGTTCGGAGAACACCCACGTGGGAATTCGAACATGCCCAAGAATCAATTAAGAATCATCAAGAATTGCAGAGTATCAATCATGCAACTTTTTTTCTAGGATGAAAAATGAAAAGTGAACAATTTCTCCATTAACTTCAATGATTAAAATTTTCATCTTTCACTTTCCATCCTAGGGATAAGGGCTCCGCACAATACAAGGAACAGGGAATAGAGAACAAAGAATAAGAATTTCAACCTATCAGAAACTATGTATTCTTCAACATGATTTCTGATAGGTTGAAATTCTTATTCTCTGTTCTCTGTTGCCTGTTTCTTTTATTGTGCGGAGCCCCAAAAAAAGAAAAAGTTTCATTATTAATACTCTGAGCAGAGAGAAACCTGAGAGAGGACATGACAGCCCAAAATCTGTAATCGCAAAATGCTGCCGCGCATTACTGTCCTCTGACAAAATGGATATAAACTACATGCAACGTCCACTTTTCTTAGCGTACATCGTTCATTTTTCAAGACTGGAGATAAATCGAAATTTGGTTCATATAATCGTGCTATATTTATCATCTCCAGCCTTGAAAAATGGACGATATACCCTAGAGTCCTATATATGAGAGAAGTGACATTCACCCCCCACTACTACTTTTGCACATATTCAGCACCGCCATATTTAACCCGCTCCAGTTGATCAGCTGACCAGTTTCCATAAAATTATTTACTTCATTGTAAGAATCATGAACTCCGTCAGGAGATTAAGTAAGTATTAATGTTTTCTTGTTGAATACTAGCGATTAAATAATGCAATTAAAAATGTTACAAAGATAAACGGTATATTGTATATTAATTTTATAATTTTTATATTAGTTTTTCATATTAGTTTTATATTAGTTTTATAATTTTATTGAATGCATTATTGCGTTATTATAACGTTATGTTGTTATAACGTTATTTTGTAACATGATTATGTTTCTATTTTGCCAGGAAGTATTTCGCAAATACATAAAGATACCTACCAGGTGTACAAGTATGAAATGACGATTTTTTCCCAAAAAAACACGTTAAATTCGGAAGAATGATAAAAAGAGATTTATTCAAAGTATGCTCCATTGCTAGTTACACATTTTTCCCATCTTTCGGGCAATTTGTGGATACCACGCCAGTAAAAATCTTCCCCTTTTGCCGCGAACCATTCATCGAGCCATTTTTTCACATCTTCGTACGAACCAAAGCGCTGCTCAGCAAGTGTGTGACCCATCGATGCAAACAAGTGGTAATCGGAAGGAGCCAAGTCTGGTAAGCCACATGGGGTAGAACTTCCCAGCTGAGTGCCAACGTGTTCCGAACTGGTTTTATGGCCATATGTGATGGAGCATTGTTATGGAGAAAAATGACCTTGTGTTGCCTCTTTTGGTATTCTGGTCGTTTTTTAAGCAGCGAATGGTTCAAATCGATCAATTGTTGTTGATAGCGTTTGGTATTAACCGTTTCGCCAGGCTTCAATAGCTCATAATAGATCACATCCTTCTGATCCCACCAAACACAGAGCATCGTCTTCCTGTCAAAGCGATTCGGTCTTGAGGTCGATGTGGATGGTGCGCCTGAGTCTACTCATGATTTTTTGCGCTTGGGATTCTAAAAAAAATCCACTTTTCATCCCCACTAACGATATGATGCAAGAATGACTTTCTTCTGTATCGTTCGAGCAAAATTTCACATGTGTTTTTGCATCTCTCCATCTGTCTCTCGTTCAATTCATGTAGCACCCATCTGCCGACTTTCTGAATTTTTCCCATCTCATAGGCGATTGAAAACAGCTTGTTGACTAACGCTCAATTGCTCTGCGAGCATTGTTTTTGTGTTTGTGAATCATCTTCATCCAGCAATGCTTGCAATTCCACGTCTTCGTACTTTTTGTTGTCCGTGTTCCTTGTCTGCAACATCGAAATCTTCAATTTTAAAACGCTGAAACCATCGTTCACACGTTTTTTGCGATAGAGCATGTTCACTATAAGCTTCTCCAAGTAATCAGTGATTCCGCAACAGTTTTCTTCAAATGAAAACAAAAGATTAACTGTCCGCGAATGCTCCTTATTTGGTACAAATTTCATTATATTAAACACAATATTATGCAAACACTTTTCAATCAAATCACTTTGCGCGTTTGACACTTGTTGATGATACAATAAAAT